TAAAATCTAATGCATGAGTCGAATTTTCATCGATAGAAATCGCAAGGAATTTTCAAGAAGTCAAGATTGTAGAATTTTAAAAATATGAAAACTAATGTGTAAAATATAAATTATTATTTTATTAATCTTTTGAATAGATTGAATAAAAAAAATATATTTATCAAATGATCAAGCATTTGTATGAATAAATGAGATTTAAATAAATAATTTTAATTTTCATGGAAATTATTAAGAGAAAAGTTACATTTTATGCAACATATTTCACGTAACTTTTATATCTCTATATTGTTATGGTTTACTTGTATATAAACAAACTCATTCTTTAACAAAAAAAACATCAATTTTTATTTTGTGCATTTTGGTTTGAAAAGACTTCGACTAGAGACAATACTTTTGAAAAATCAATAGTACATTCTACAGGCAACTTTTGAAGCTACAAAATCCCGTTGCAAAGATTTATCTGAACATGCCTAGGCTATTGAAAAAAGCCGATTTACTTTTATGAGCAATATAATGAAATACAAAAAAATGTTTTTATAACTGAATGAAATGTTCAAAACCAATTTTAAACGATACAAATCCTTCTTCAGAAACTCTAGAAAATCGATTTTTAAGAGAAAGTTTTTTTGAAATCCAATCTTGCTGATTTTTTCAGTCATGTCGTAGAGTCTACAGTGAAATTTTCGAATTTCCTCTCATATGGTTAGAGATATATTTGCTAATTACTTTTTAATTAATAATCAGCTGAATGAGTCAATACTTTAATAAAGGTCACTGCTTAAAGAATTTCCTGAGAAAAATAACCCATATAAAAAATTAAAATTTAATGAAAGATGAATATGTCACGTTTTGCCTGAAATAGCTTATAGTTATATATTTTTTAAAAACATTTCGTCACTCAAGAGAAGCTTCGTCTGTTTATTCATAAAAATAATACGAAGAATGCATTGAAATTGTTCCGCATTATGAATCTTGTACGTTGATTAACGTCTCATGCGTGACAATTTTTCTATACGCAATAGATAGTACGGCATAGATCATACTAAATCTTATTTTATTGATAAATATTAAATAGAAAGACAACTGATACTACTCTGGTCGAAGAATATGGCATCGTATGCGGCCAGTAATACAGAGCGTATGATAACGACACTAAATGGTATAAAATGATTGTTTAGGGTAACATTGAGGTAATAGACAGTGATAGGTAATGATTGATCTGCGTGCTTGCAAAACATGATTACGCATAAGACTCAAATAAAGTATTGTGAATTATCAGCAAGTTTATCGACCATCTCAGCTATTTTGTAAAGAGATTGGCTATTTTCTCAATGTGAAAGGCTAATTTTTTTTTTATTGATATTTTTATCTCTTAAGTGTTACTCATGTGATAAACTCAAGAAAGAAAAAGTGAAAATTCAGTACTTCACCGTACCCCAAGAATATGTCAAAACTATCTTCAAGAATTTCCTAGATATTTCAAATCTGTTATATCAATATGTGTCACGGGAACATTGTTCTGAGTCCATTTTATTTTTAAGTTTGTCCGATTATGTGATATCCTTATAGTTCAATGAAGTATGGAATTCTAATTTTTTTTCTCCTTTGATAAACTGAACACTGAAAATCTATTAATCTATTTCAACCGACTATGTGAGATATTTCTGTTACACAAAAAATCCATGATTCATAACTGATAAGAAAATAAAAAATTTAAAAAAAGAAACTTTTGCTATTATGACGTTTTTGATTATCATATCTACAGATATATTTTTCTTTGTTACATATCTAGATAAAATAACTATTATGTCAACGAATACATTAAATGAAAATTTTCACAAATTTCTTAAAAGTAATTGAATAGTTTTGCACAACTTTTTCCTATTAATTTATTAATCAAATATAGCTATTTATGATTGGCCGGAGTCAACAATAAACAAAAATGTTCTTATTCAAATGCTTGAAAAATTATGTCATGAAAACTCTGATTTAGAACATATTTACCAAGAAGTATTAGCACCACAACTAGATCAGCAATCTTCAAATCATAATATCGATGAAAATTCTCTAGTACAACCAACAGAAATGCATACTAAACAACCAGCTGTTCAAAATGTTGTTAAACCATCGAATTTTAGCAATTGTCAAGCAACAATAAATGAAGATTCTCATGTTGAAAAAGTATCAAACCCTTTACTAAATATTGTTCCAAGTAATAAATTAGTTAAGGAAGGAAATTTAACTGTTAGAAAAGGTATGGATTTCTTATTTAACAAAACAAAATTTCATATTTATCATTTAAGGTTCTACAATTTTATCACCTTTATTAAAAAGTAAATTTATTCAATTAATAATCGATTTATAATTCGTCGTTTTTTTTTAGAACATGGATCAAAAACAATTGTTTATTGTGAATTATCATATGAATATTGTCATAATGAAAAAATTGTTTATCTAGTTGTTTATGAAAATCGAAAAAGTCGAAAATTTTTATATAAATTTATCATAGATCTTAGTGAGTTACATGAATCAGTTATTTATCATTTTTTGGAAGATATATTCTGCTCATTTAGATTGTACATTTGTTTATGAATGGATAAATACCATATTCTATTGAGAATGTTTATTAAGTACTTTTTATTTATTTAAATCAAAATTATCAACATGTGCTTGTTTATTTAATTTTTGCATTAGTTATTTTATTCTTTACCGATGAAGTATTGAGTTTCTATGCTTCTTTTTCAATATCAGATTTTCATCAGGTAATAAAAAAATTTATTCCATGTAAAAGTTATGATGGCCATTAAGAAAATAATCAAATTTACTCAACAAATTCCAGAGTTAATATTCAATAAAGACTCGAGACAAGATTGTTTCAATATGAAGTATCAATTTTTCCTCGAATTTCGATATGCTAATGATCCAAAACACTCCTTATTATGTTTCAAGAATGGGACATGATAATCATAGGGATTTTATGATCAAGTCGGTCTAAAATTTTTTTATAAAGCTATTATCATAAGAATAATAAACATACTAGGATATTTAGTTTAGATCGTTTTACCGACACAGAACGGTTCGCTAGTTGCCTAATGTAGGCATGCGAAACACGATCAAATAATGTCATAACTAAAGCTGAAAAAAACACAAAAGTAACGATAAAAGGAAAAAAAAATAATAACCTCGACAATTCATTTCGGCAGACGTACGACAGGCGTTATTCGATAGAAATAAACCAACATCTGCAAATGTCATATCGGCTTCATCACAAATGACGGTGCGACAACATTCATCTAATCCTGACATTAATCCAGCTTTTGACATTTCATCCAAACTTGCATTAACTTGACTACCTACAGCGATTTGGCTTGTTGAAATAAATTTTGTTGGTCGATGTAAAACAACAGTTTTTAGCATATCACGTAATAATCTTGTTAAATCAGATTTACCATACGCTAAAAGATAATTTTATATATATATATGTGATATATATCAAAACTTACATGATCGAGCTACAATTAAATTGAACAAGTTTGTCGGTATTTTATTACTAATGGAATTCGCTCGTAAAACATAAGAAAATTCTAATGTTGCAGCAACAAGATTAACAAGTACAATAGCCAAAGAATCTGGATGGATAGAATGAACATCGCCAAGTTCATTTATATACCTTTCTACTGGTGATGAGAACATAACATCCGGCCAGAATTTTAATTGACTGGCGTTGTCAATATTACGACAAATGAAAGCCATTTGAAAATTTGATACAAAATATTTAGCTAATGATGTACCACTGCAACGATGTGTTTTTTTAACTGAACCACGTTAGTGTTGGACTTCATTATGGTGAACAGTATACAATCCACCAATCGTAACTCTCCAAAAGCCTCTGATTTATTGATTCATAATAATATTATTTTTCCAAATTTCTTTTTGAAAAGTACTTTGATATGACACAAAAATTTCCGAAATAAAACAAACGATATGGCGTCGCTACTAATATAATATTAAATCATATCAGAATTCTGCCAGAATTCTGATCATGTAGCAGCCATATTGAATTCATCAATTCTTATATATTTCGGATAGTTTATTGATGATATGTTAAATGAATACAACCTCTTGGAAACACAAGGGAAATGTGTATAAATGATTGTGTATATGATAAAACAAAATTCTGCTTGGAATCAAAATTCTAACACGATTCTGTTGAAAAAATATAATTCTCAGCAGAATTTTGTTTTTGAAGGAGAGATGTGTATATATGAGTGTGTATATCTTAAAACAAAATTCTGCTTGGAATCAAAGTTCTAACACGATTCTGCTGAAAAAATATAATTCTCACCAGAATTTTGATTTGAAGAGGAGATGTATATATATGCGTGTGTATATCTTAAAACAAAATTCTGCTTGGAATCAAAATTCTAACACGATTCTGCTGAAAAAAAATAATTCTCAGCAGAATTTTCAGAGGAAAGAAGGGTGTATGATAAAACACAATTCTGCTGGAGAAACATAATTTTAAGTGGAAGGGGTTGTTTACTATAGCATTACATGATTGTGTATATGATAAAATAAAATTCTGCAAGGACATCAAAAGTCTAACACAGTTCTGTTGGAAAAACATAATTCTAAGCAGAATTTTGATTTTGAAGGGGAGATATGGATATATGTGTATATGATTGGATATATGTATATATGATAAAACGAAATTCTGGTAGAAGATCAAAATTCTATCTCAATTGTGTTCCAATAACGTAATTCTGGGCAGAATTTTAATGTTGAAGAAGAGAGAAGAGTATAAAATGAATTATATAAACGTATAAGAGAAATTTAATCAAATAGCAAAATTCTTGAATTCTGCTTGCGATGAATTCTGCCACTGCTGCCTTCTTGGGGAATCATTGTATACAAATCAGTAACATCCATTGTTATGAATGATGTGGCTGGTGTAAGATATTTATCCGACCATCTCTCAACTTGTTTTATTAATTGAACCCCATTCGATATAGCTGTTTCAGATGCTAATCGATCGAATAGAGGTCTTAATAAACTATCTAACCATTTCGATATGCACTGTAAATTTTTTTTAAATTTTACTTTTTGGAAAATCGATCTTAAATAAGCTGAAGTATTTTTAAGGTTTTATGATTCATTCGACCAATTTTCAGTATCTCGAAAATGCTTGATTTTCCAATTTACAGAGATTCAATTTGATTTTCGAAAAAAATGATTTTCAAAGGAATTAGAAAATCAATATAAATACTCGAAAAAGTCAAAAATGAAAGCAACTTTCTAGAAAATCATTTGCACAATGACCGCTCTGGAGTCATTGTTCATTCATGTATATAAGTCAGCCGACAGTGTTGTGCATTCATTATTTTCTTCGGCAGCTGTAGTGAGTTGATAAATTATATCTTTGCAGTTGCCGCGTGAGTCAGCCCATTTCGTATGTATTTAAATTAAAATTATATGTTTTTTTTATTCGGTGCATTTATATGAAATGAATGTTTATGAATCTATTTAAATTAAAACTCAAATTAATTATTTAGTGTAATCAACGTTTATCAATTTATTTAAATTAAAATGAAAATTATTTATTTATTTCATTCACGCATTTAATAAATTTACTGGTTATGAATTGAAATGAGAATAATTTATTTCATTTGATGCATTTATATGAATTTTATA